ATTGGAAAAACAGAGCAGTGGTCCTGTTGTGAGGACAATTGATACCTTCATCGTTGCAGAGAGCGAAGCAAGTGTTCGAGTATCCGCGGAAAAGGAAAAGTTTGAGTCGTTGGAAAAACAAAGCAGTGGTCCTGTTGTAAGAACAATTGATACTTTTATCGTTCCAGAGAGTGAAATGAGTATCCGAGTGGCTGCAGAAAAGGCGAAACTTGAAGCGCTGGAAAAGCAGAAACAGAAGGAACTGGAGGAGCAAGCGGCAATTGAATCGCAGAAGATGGAAAGAGCCAACGTGCTAGCTGAAGAGAAGATGAAGTTGGCAGCGAAGGAGAAGGCGAGAATGGAAGCTGAGGAAGAGGCGGGGATGGAGGAAGAGAAGAAGACGCGGGTGGAGAGGGCAAAGTTTGAGTTTGAGGAGAAGGAAAGAGCAAGGCCTGAAGCAAGAGAACCATCGTTGTTGGAAGCAGACAAGAAGCCTCAACCAGTGGCACAAGAGAACGCAAGGCTGGAAGTAGAAGAGAATGAGGGTGAAGAGAATGTGAAGCTGAATGAACAGCTAAGATCTAGGGCTCAGGCAGAGGAAGAGCCTACGATGAACGCCACGAAGGTAGCTGAGAGGGAAACAGAGGTGGCTGGGGTAGATGCGGGGAATAAAACGAAGCTAGAGGCAGAGTCGAAGAAAAAATTGGAGAACGATGAAGAGGAGGAAAAGCTGAAAATAGAAAAGGAGGCGACCGAGCTGGAGGATGAAGAAAAGACGAGGCTGAAAGGGGAGGAGAAAAATAAGTCGATTGCAGAGGTGGAGACTGCGAATAAAAAGTTTAATATCGAAGAAGAGAATGCACGGTTTGGGGCGGGGACGGCACATGTGGTCGCAGAGAACGCTCAAGAGGAAGCCGAAGAAAGGTTGGCTACACTTGATATGGAGGAAAAAGAAAAGTTAGAAAGTGATGAGACAGCTCGGTTTGAATTGGCGATGAAACATGCAGACAAAGCAGAAGGGAAATATGAAAAAGGGGTAGCAGACAAAGCAAAGTTTGAAAACGTTTGGTCCATCAAGTCTTCCGAGGAGGTAGAGAATGCGTCGCAAGTGGTCGACATCATGGAGGTCACGATCAATAAGATAGTGAAAGGTGCCGAGGTCGTGTCGACGTCCGAAGTGACAGAATGTCCTGAAGTCCTAGTGATAGACGACACAGAGGTCGAAGTCAGAAACAACGACGGTGAGGAAAAAGCTCGAACACCTGAGAGAATTGAGACGCATGTAGTCGCGAATGATTTAATGCATCAAAGTCCAGTTCGATCGTCCAGCTTCGTTGAAATTACGGTAGAGCATCAGACACTCGCTGACGTCGTCTCAACGGCACAACACACGCATTGGCTGTCGATTCCGGTAAATGCTAGTCCTGCTCTCACACGTCTTCACACGGTACTGACGGACCATAATCCTCTTACTGCGTATGCCTTGTACCCTTCAAGTCCAACATCACCTTCATCCCATGCAACAGATGACGAGGAATTGCCAGTACCTACTTCAGCGTCAGAATTGTCTGATAACACCAAGTAAAAAAGTGATTGAGAGCAGTACAGAATTCTTGCCATATATTTGATCAAATATCCACATGAAATGAATCTTTAACCCCAAAATGTGTAACATCGAATGCATATAATTTTTTATTCAAAATAAAAACTCATATCGTGCCCTCTCCCTCCAGTGTGCTTGTTAATTCATGAATTCAAAAGACTTGGTTGTGCCATACTAGTTTGAGGAAACTACGTGAGCTTTTCGATATTTCATCAGAGCTTCAGTGACAGAAAACTTGGTATACAAGCGATAGGCCTTGATCTCATCACTGGTCGCCATACTTTTAAATGAATTAAATATGGAAATTTTATTCTCTTGCCACGTTTTGATTTGCAATCTGAGGTTTTCTCCACCATAAATTCTTTCCGTTAACGTTAACAAGCGTGCCATCACTCGAACATCGTTGTATTCGTTTGCGGCAAACAAATCCAACACTGCAGGGAGTTCGGCGGCCACAAACTCCTTCGTCTTCCCCGACCACTTGTTGTGGGATTGCAGAAAAGTTTCGATGTCGGATTCCCTCTTGATCTAGAATCCATTGGAATAAGCCAACTCGTATATTTCAAAAAAGTAAACGACAACAACTTGCTTAACACCCGGATTTTTCTCAAGAAAGGCCAAAAGCTTAAGTAAGTTTTCTTTTTTTTCGTCTTCCAATGCTTTTTGAGCGAGAAATTTTTTGCAAGGTGGACATACCTCAAAAAAAACTTTTTTTTGTGAGTATGGCCACCACGACTTTAGTGTCTTGCGAACGCTTTTTTTGATATTCCGAAAATCTTCGTTGAAATTCGGCGATAAATTTTCCGGAGCTTTCACAATCGAAGGTGTGTAACTTATTGGATGGTGATGTTTCAGAAAACTGGACCATGTAGCTATGTCACCAGTAGTAGCATCAGGCTTGACCGTAGCAACAGTAGCCGTGGCCTTGGCCCTTGCAGCCTTGGCTTGAGAAGCAGTAGCCTTGGCCCTGGCAGCCTTGGCTCGAGAAGCAGTAGCCTTGGCCTTAAAAGCAGTACCCTTGACCCTATTAGCAGTGGTCTTGGCCTTAACAGCAGTAGACTTGGCCCTGATAGCAGCAGTGTTGTCCTCAGCATTGACCAGTGCACTAGCCAAAGTCATTAGATTGTCTGAAACAGCAGAGGTACCCTCAGCAGCGTTATTTTCCATTGACTTCATCGTACTCGGTCCTAAACTTAATGCAGCGTCTATCCACTCAGACGTTCTCGCTTCATTTCCTGAGCGAACCCCACGTAAGAACTGGGCAGTTCTGTTACGAGCAACATCTACCGGTATCTCTTCATCATTCGTGCTTTGAGCTAACAGCTCGGTCGGGCTGGATGAGTCTGCGCAGCATTTAGAAAGCGACGCGACAAAAAGGATGAGACGAAGATGCATTAGATTTGGTTGGTACAACAAGGATGAGACGAATATGCATTAGCTTTTCAGATTTGAATGATGTTGATTTTCATAACTCTGACAGTATTCTTTATTAAAGTACTGTAGAAGCGCCGGTTTTGTACTTCTTCGTAATCCCGCAAAAGCGTGACTTCTTTTCTAATTGATAATCCGAGGACTTGGAATCATTCGAAGGCCCTACATTAAGCTCCATCGAATTCTTTACGAATGATATTTACCTAGACATCATTAGAATATAAGATTTTTGATTCTAGAATCAGACATATAGTAAGAAGACGAATGGAAAGTTTTATTGATAGATTCGATGAAGGGATGAAGGGATGTGATGCTGGCAGTCTGATACATCGTCAGTCTTGATTTTACAGCACTTAAAATCTTGCTTTGATGTCGACGACAATATGCGATCTTCATTACCGATATGAGCTTTCATCATCGTCTCAACAACAAGTGATGAATACACCAAGTACGCGCGACTGGGCGATTCCTCGCTGCGATACACATTGAATATAATGTGGCCCATCAAATCATCGAATTCTTCGTGCAAAAATAAATTAAGTGGGCCTTTTGCCTCATCATTAGTGGGGGGAATGTAGCTCTTCACTTTTTGTAATAAGTCATCAAACGTTTCGGTTGATGCAAATAAGTATCTTGGTTTGCCTCCAACGAGTTTGAGTCTAAGTAACCAATCGTCTTCATCACTCAATTGAATTGTATTTGCGAATGTCTGGCATTCAACCTTAGTCCATGGATTCATATATATCTTCAAGCAATCATTATTGACAAAGTATTCATAATTCTTAGTGCCTGAGCTGGCGAACAGAAAAATACGCTCAAATTCTGATGGCAATGCTCCACCCGCTCCATTTCCATCGATAAATCCATAATACTTCGCGTTATTAGAAGGAAGACGCGAACACTTGTAACCAGTGGTGTGCCAAGTGAGGTATATCCACTTAGTACCCAGGTATTTGTAGGCCACATCCTTATGCTCCATCATGAATAGCAGCAGCAAGAATACCCCAAACACCGACTTCCCAATACCAGGGCTACCGACCACAAGAACTTTACGGAATGATCGATATGGTGCCACTCCATGCTTGATCATATCTTAAAGGTTCCAATACTCTTGTCGAATGTACAAACCATGCGGGATTGCTGTACTAAAGATATCCGTCGGCGTTTCCAATATTTCTCCAATTCCAAGAACCTTGCCGTCGTCAAGCTGTTCAGCAAGTGCAACTAATTCATTTATCTGAACTAGATCAATGTATTCCATTCCCTGCATCGTTTCATCTGTCAGCGAAACCTTCGAATCGTTCCAAACGATATCAGAATGTCGCTGCGTTGGCACTTCCACGATAAGTGCATTTTTCTTTGAACCACCAAGAGTACCAACCAATGATTTTTCATTCAAAGGAGGATCCTGAGCATCATAAGCCGCTGTGTTCGCATAGATTTTCAGTTGAAACGGTGCAACACGGGCTAGAATATCACTTCCTCGAGGTTGTGTATGGTCAAATTTCGCATGGACTTTGTTGCGGAAGTCTCCAATATCTTTCACATCAACACTTGTAAGGACTGAAGCTGCCGCGGTGCCCGCGAACTCATGACGACTTTCTTCATCTATCAACTGAAACCAAACTTTTCTTACCATCGTCTTTTTCCAAATGACGGCTTTCTCAGATCCAAAGAAAAACCAACGGTGGCTGAAGTCTCGCAGCTTTCAAACTCTACCGGTATTGACAGTACTGGTTAGTTGCCAACAAAATATTCCATCACAGTTCATTCAGGGTTTGGATGCATGACATGAGGTCATTTTTCGTTTGCGTTAACGATGGAGTCTACGATTTACATCTTAAATGCCTTAAAGGCAATTTCAGGTCTGTAAATGCATAAAGCCAAAGTTTATAATCATTGAGACACCGCAGTTTCATAAGTGTTAATCTTTACAAAGAAAGTTAACGCTAGTTTATTTTCTCTAGTCATTTTCTCTCACGGGTCGATGTAGAACCGTTTCGTTCTTATGATTTGTGGACAAACCTCTTGAAATTTAGTTTGATCATAATCAATCTGGTCCTTAAGTAACTTGATGCAGCAATCGTTTGCTGCGATAATTTCTTCATAACATTACTAGAAGGCTATTCACGGTCTAAAGCTGTCGTGTCTGATAACTAGTAGACTAGGCAGCAAATTCCGGATGACGAAGTAGATTGCATGGTTTTAATGAGAATGAGAGTAGCAACGTCCTCGCATCAATGTCATTTAGAATACGTAAAGTGAATAATAAAATACGAAAGCACGAAGTGAAACCATGTCATATAAGCAAAAAGTATGAGAACTGTAGCATGATTGAAAAAACGAAAACAGGATGCGGTTACTTATAAGGATGCAAGGGACAACCGGATTTTGGAATAGTATTCATGGAACAGTCGGCGCTAAGAGTAGAATATAGCTACGTGAACTTTGCACGATAAACATACAAAGGAGTTCCTGCAATGTGCAGTACCTCATCAATGTTCAAATACTGTAGTCGGAATTCTTTTGATGCCGATCATTATTTTGGTTCGGAAGCTTTGGATCGTCGATACCTCGATCCTACTCGGCTCCTCTCGGGACTTACTCATTGACTTGGATCTCTTGATCGAAGCACAAAGTGTCATGGAATTGCCTGAACGTGTACTGGGCACTGTATATTTATATTGCATTGACTTGCGTCATGCTGTGCCATACGAGATTTCGAGGTGCCCGGTCAAGAAAAGTTAAAATATCATTGGACTTTGTAAAAGGACGCTAAAAGTGGTTAACGAAAGTCTTGAAGCAGACAATATTCGACAAGCGTTGCTGGTCAGATCTCGTTGAATTGGATAGCTACTCAGTGAACAAGAGCAATTGGGTCAAACACGTCTGTACTTGCTTTGGGAATAATCGAATGTGTTCGTTCGAGTCATGTCTACGAAGGCCTATCTGAGTGCCAGGTCGAATTTATCGACAGCAACTTTGGCAAGTCCAGTTACTCAGTTCAATTAAGAGATGCTGACAGTAGCATTGTTGTCATGATGAGAACTATGCTGAAACTTGTAGTTTATGGCAATTAGATAAATTAAATTGATGCAGTAAGAAGTTACTTTCCTTTCCAATTACTTCTCTACTTCCTGACCCCAAAAGAGCGTACCACTCGCTTTATATTTAGTTCAAACACTGGCTATGCTTATGTCTTGACGATGTCGCTGATTTGATGGTAATTGTTCTAGCCAATTTGATGTTGAAATGGTAGTGATTCTCAGAAGTAAGATTGACAAAAATACACAGATACTCATCTTCCGACAAAATACCACAGAGCTGTGCACTCAGTTTAGTAAAGAACACGAAAACCAAAAAAATCGAGTATAACGTAGAGATTGCAAAATTGTAAAATGTCGTGATTTAGTTCATCTGTAATAATCCTTAAAGCAAAACTTTCGCCTGGGTCATCCTCGCTTCTCGCCAAAGATCAGTTTGGAGTTTTGCGAATCTTTGGTTTCCAGTGTCTTCCAAGTCAAGGTGATGCTTGGAATCTATTCATTCAAACTGGATTCAGTTTGCTTGATAACTCGAGATCAGAGGAATCAAGTTTGACAAACTGAGCGCACATGATTTTAAAAAATTTTAAATTATCGTTCAATATCGATCACTTCCAAATCAGAGGCCGACTGCTTAGAATACAACGGAGGGCAGTGATCCACACTGAGGAGAGAGAGGCTACAAAACAAACATACTTTAGCTAAAAAATTGACTAAACTGGACTATACGGTCTTCTAACCAGGGTCGGGTAGTGGCTTGGCTTCGTTTCGGTGATAGCGATTCCACAGTCTGTGCTGGAAACACTTTATTGAACATCTCCCCGAGATTGCATTTATGATATCCTTCTCTGTTATTGACCCCCTCGGTCGTCTTCCTGGAGGATGTTCCTGTTGGCTTTCCATTCAGCTTAAGTGCTGCGAGAAGATCGCTTTGAGTTGAAGGATGAAGAAACTTGGTGAATGCTGCAAGTTTTCGTGACTGAGGTTCAAGATGAAACGGCACATGCACGAAAATGGAGGGCAAAGATGAATGATCTGATGCTGGCAATCTATAAATTAAGAAAAAGCCTGACCGAGACATAAGAGATCACGAGGTCAAACCAAGGCAATGGAAAAGCTCGTGATAGCTACAGGAAGGGTCATGGAAGAAAGTGAAATGAGCGAAAGAGCACATATAGGTTCTTTGCTTCGTTCCGGATGAAATCAACAGCACATGGAAATCACAACTTCCCTGGTATTGCTGCGATTTTAACGACGTAATTTGTGCGATTCAGTTGATTTCAATTTATCTTTGATATCATTGATGCCATTCAGTACTGGAACAATACCTTTCAACTTGTAAATTTAGCCGCTGGAACCATATCAAGTGTACCTGTTAGCTCGCATGGTCTTTACAGCTAATATGCGGTTAATTGGAGCATTCAGACAGCTTGTGTTATTCTGAAGCGCATTTTATTAATTCAGTCGGTGAGAACGTTTTTACATTCAACTTACTTCTGGACCTTGAACCCAGCGATTCAGCGTATGACGCTGCTTCATTCAGTTTCAGCGCAAGTCCAACGACTCTTCCTACGCGTAGGCGAGTATGCCTAGATGAACTACATGAACAGATCACGCACATCAAACAAATGTTAAATTCTTGTCGCAAAACACTATTTTTTGCCAGCTTTTATAATTGTAATGATTGTGCTTGCATAGCATTACTACTTAATCGATTCTAATATAACGCAAATAATATTTCCAACAGTGGCAATCGTGTGCTGCCAGTAGACGAAATTACCGACTCTGATGAATTTGATTTTGCAAATTTTAAGGCAGGGCACACATAAGAAACGTAGAGAAGCTCGCGGTGTCGCTTCTTCCATGTCTAATTCACAAATTTTAATTTTCGTACACGTAGGTCCTACGTTGGTCCTAGAAACTGGAAAAGTCGAGCATCTAATTTCTTTGAGAACTAATTCGAAGATTGAAATGACAAATCAAATAAACCTGTGCTCTCTTATAATAGTATTGAGAAATCATGGCAGTGATAATACTCTCGTTATGAATAGGTCGGACAAATCCTTGAAGACAATCCGACCAGGTTTGAGGACCGAATCTCTGGTTTTCATTTTGAAAATTTAAACAATGAAGAAAGCACTCGTTCCTTTGGTCTTGGTCATCTTCGCAATAGAATTGAGTCGTGCTGACGATTCCCACTACGATATTCAACGCAAGCTTGTTTTATCAGGCACAGTTGTTCCTGGTACAGAAAACGCCTACACAGTTGGTCTACGAAAGAAAAAAAATGGCGAGTTATTTTGCGGTGGAGCGTTAATTAGCCCGACACATGTGATCACCTCTTCACGCTGCACCGTCAATGACATACGCTGGGCGTCAATTGGTGCGCACAATGTCACTGGAAGCAAAAGTGGGGAGCACATTAAAGTGCTTTCGGTCATGAATCATCCCAACTTTTCGGCGAACATTGAATTTAGCAATGATTTCGCGTTGCTAGAATTAGAAAAAGCGACTCTGATCAAGCCTATAAAACTTGCAGCAGCTGATGATTCAGATTTTAAGCCGAGAGCAATGGCGACAGCATTAGGTTGGGGGGCTACCAGCGAAGGTGGTACGGCGTCAAAGGAGCTCCTTCGCGTCAAATTGCCTCTCATCAGTGACGAGGAATGTGAACAAGTGGCGAAGATGGACAAGACAATGTTGTGTGCTGGTGGTGTAATCAGCGAAGATGTTTGCAAGGGGGATACTGGAGGTCCACTTGTTCTTGAAGCTGCTGGTAAAGATGGAGAAGATGTGCTCGTTGGTGTAGTCAGCTGGAGTAAAGCGAACGGCTGTGGTCGAGGACCCTTTTACCCAGGAGTTTACTCGAGAGTCTCGCATGCACGTAGATGGATTGATCCTATCGTTACTAGTTCTTGTTTTCACGCATAGCTGCGTAGTCATAATACAATAATATGACCAGAATATTGTCTCTATAACATGAGCGTTCAGTGGTTGATTCCACTGTTATGCCATACCTGTGGATAAAAATTTCAATATTGAAATATATTTGAAAAAGCAGCCTCGTGCACATTTAATCATCTTTCCTTAAAGCAAAGTCAGATTCAATTTGTCCATCATTACGACATACTCAAGTAGCAGCGTAGCTATATATCATCAAACATTCGCTGCAAAGTGACAATGATTGTGGATCAGTACGATCGAAACCTTGACACATGCCATCACCAATTTAACAGTTCAACTACAAAATGTTGTTAAGAAACAGCCTAAAATGTTGTTGATTTTTAGATAAATCGAAATACAAGGCGACTATTCTTTAAAACAATCCTATTTAGACCATAAATGAGATTGTCACCTTACAATATGCAAAAAATTTCTCACGAACGAGACATTCGCTCGCCCATACTTTCATTTTGCTTGGTAAAGTCTGCGATTTTTCCAGCATTATCTCCATCCCTAAACTACATACCCAGTCTCATAATTTCCACTTGAACCTTCGTTTAGGACGCACATGTCTAATTAAAAAAAAAATATTATGAGGCGAGTTTTTCGTTTTTCGGTCGGTAATCCTAACAATCATGATATCATCACTTTAAAAAGGGAAATAGCAATCACGACACTCATATAGGTGCGTCCTCTATTGCCTCCCTATGACGTTCATGCCGCTTTCCTGCCCTATACAGTCTTTGATTATCTTCTATATATCAACAAAACTAATATCATTGACGATGTATTAATGTATCAGTTAAAAAGATTGACTCATGGCTTCCACTGGCTTTGTATCATCTCCGAATGGACCCGCAGGTTGCGATCGTCAGCAAGAACGTAATTGTAGCGGGTCTGGATTAAAGCTTGGTACTAAAAAGAAGAAAATGACTATCAAACCTTTTAAAGTCACACCAAAGTTGCCGGAAACGTTTGAAGCTGATACATGGATCAAGTTATCCGCCGCTGTGCACGCAGTTCATGTAAAAGAAATGTCAACGTTGAGCAGAGAAGAGCTTTATCGCTCTGTAGAAGATATGTGCACTTGGAAAATGGCTGCAAGTTTATATAAGCGACTTGAAAAGGCATGTGCATTGTATATTCAAAAGAGAGTGGAGGAATTGGTGCAATACACTGGAGGAGAGACAAATGTTTTTCTAGAAGCAGTACACAAATTATGGGAAGATCATTGCGACGATATGTTGGTCATTCGTACCATCTTTTTGTACTTGGATCGCACGTACGTAATGCAGACGCCTCATATTGCATCTATTTGGGATATGGGACTAAACTTAATGCGCGATAATCTTGTACAGCGTCAAAGCTTAGAAAAAAAGCTCATTGATGTACTATTGGAGCTTGTGGAGCACGAACGCAAGGGAGAAGCTATTAATCGCAGTTATTTGTATAATTTGCTAAAAATGCTGTTGTCGCTGCACTTGTATCATCAAGACTTTGAGACTCCTTTTTTGATAGCATCCGAGCGGTTTTACTTGCAAGAAGGAGCTACATTAGTCGAGTCGATGAGTGTACCGCAATTTTTAATGCATGCAGAAAAACGGTTGCATGAAGAGACGGAACGGGTGAACCATTATTTGGATGCATCTACGAAGAAACAATTGATAGCTGTTGTCGAAAAGAAACTGTTACAACCTCATGTCGCCACGTTATTGGAGCGTGGATTTGATACTTTGATGGAAGAAAAACGTATTGAAGACGTTAAACGAATGTACGCGCTTTTCGCCAGAGTCAATGCAATTGATGATCTCAAGATTGCGTTTTCAAATTATATTCAAAATAATGTATCAAAGCTTGTTATGGATGATCAGCAAGAAAAGACGTTTGTGGAAAAATTACTCAAATTGAAGGCGGATCTCGATGCTGTTTTGAGCGAATCGTTTCAATCGAATTCGGACTTTTCATTTGCTATGAAATCTGCCATGGAAAAAGCAATTAACGTACGGGCAAATCGTCCTGCGGAACTTGTTGCGAAATTTGTTGATATGAAGCTTCGAACGGGCAACAAAGGTGGCTCAGAAGCTGAAGTGGAGGCGCTTTTGGACCGCGTGATGGTGATTTTTCGGTATATTCAGGGCAAAGATGTGTTTGAAGCTTTTTATAAAAAGGATCTGGCGAAGCGTTTATTGGTCGGAAAAAGTGCTTCATTCGACTTGGAGAAGCTGATGTTGTCCAAGCTTAAGACTGAGTGTGGTAGCTCGTTTACGAACAAGGTATTGCATTGTATTTGTCGATTAGATTTAAAGTGATTTCTGAGGTTAGATACTATGTAGCTGGAAGGTATGTTTAAGGATATCGATCTGTCTCAAAATGTCATGACGCAGTTCCAACAGCATGCAGCTAGCAGGTACGTGATTTAACTTGGATACCTTGAAACGACTTACTGTATGATTTGATTCTCTAGGCAAGCATTGGAGACGTTGCAGGTGAATCATGGCGTTCCAGACATGCAAGTTCAGGTTCTGACGACTGGATTTTGGCCACCATACGCTGCTGTTGAAATTAATTTGCCACCTGCGCTTGTTCCACTTAAAGAAATGTTTGATAAGTTTTACTCATCCAAGTACCAAGGGCGACAGCTTCAGTGGCAACACTCTCTTGCTCAATGTGTAGTAAAGGGTAATTTTCCTTCTGGTAAGAAGGAACTTGTAGTATCGTTATACCAAACGGTTGTGCTGCTTTGCTTTAATGGAGCTGATAAGTTGGGCTTTAAGGAGATTAGAGAGCAGGCTCGTATTGAAGATGGAGAGCTGCGACGGACTCTTCAGTCCCTGGCGTGTGGTAAAATACGTGTACTGCAAAAGATACCAAAAGGACGAGAGATCAATGACGACGACATTTTCACCTTCAACTCCAGCTTCACAAATCAGCTCATCCGTATCAAAATCAATTCAATCCAGATGAAGGAGACGAAGAAAGAGAATGAAGATACACACGAGCGAGTGTTTCGGGACCGTCAATATCAAGTGGATGCAGCGATCGTGCGCATCATGAAGGCGCGCAAGAAGCTCTCGCATGCACTGCTGATGGCCGAAATCTTTACGCAAATTCGCTTTCCCGCAAAAGCTGCAGATATTAAGCGCCGAATTGAAAGTCTTATTGATCGAGAGTATCTTGAACGAGACTCGACCAACGCCCAGATGTACAACTACTTAGCGTAAGCTCAATGTCGAGCTTTACTTGGTCACCTTATACGTCATAAGCGTACTTGCTTTTAGTTGAAAGCGATTATTGAAATCAAGCTTAAACTACTGGTAAGCGAGCAGGAAATACGATAGCGTAGCATAATCATTAAAACTTAAGTAGGTGCTTGCAACCCATTAATCAAGTCAAGGACTCGTACTCGTCTTCTTCATCTTCAGATCCGTCATCGCGAAGACGATATTGAAGCAATACGGGATAGATAGTACAAAGAGCTTTCTCTCCTTCAGCTGGCGACTACATTCCCAAAAAAATGGCTTTTGTAAGTGCTAGAATCAATCGCAACTATTTTATAGACGCACCTCGCATCCAGTAATAACAATTTTGCCAGAGATAAAAATTAATAATGTGCACTTAGGATGCAGCATTCTATAGATCAAACCAGGAAATAGCTCTGGCTCGTACTGGGTGACAGCAGATGAGATAAGTGAACAGGAATTATTGTAGAGCGTACGTAAACCTACTTACTGTACTAAAGCGTAGATGATCGCGAGCCAGACCTTCCAATCGTACTTTAAAGCAAACATCCGCGGAACCCACAACATTGCGAATACTAAAGCGATTGCATTTGCTTGGAAACGAAGCTTTCTTTAAAACGGATTGAAGCTTCTCTGCAGCTAAATTAGCATCTTGAACACTTGTAGCACCAACGACTACAAACTACACATGAATGAGCATTCAGATGAAATGAAATACTATAAACAAGCACCTTTCCACTTCTATATAATAAAATTGTCGCGCGAGGTGATTGAAAGCGCATCACCAAAGCATTAAACCCCTGTCAGCAGTATAAATTCCTATAAACACTTTGCCGTTGCAATATTCATCAATTCAATCCAATCGTTACCTACTCGAGGTGCATAGTCAGCATTACGCACAAGCAGTGCGAGTTTCTTGATATCAACACAGTCATTGACAAATCCACTACCAAGTACATTTCTAGACAAAAGACTGACGATTAAGTACAGTGATCAAAATGATGTCATAATGATATCATACATACACAACGCGGTATGCCACGCCTTCTTCTGCAAGTCGCGCGTGGGACCAAGTTTCTTCATCGCTGCTGAAGCTCATTCAACTATAAAAAAGACCTGAAATTTAAAATTCAATTATTATTTATTTTAGAAAAAGTATTTTTTTCAAGAGCTGCAGTTTCTTACATAGAGATCCAGTCTCACTCGCCGCATCATGCTTTCGCTCTTCCTGCTCTCAGTCGCGACACTTGCGGTCTTTGATGTCTCTGCCGATCAAATATTGATTTTGGGTAAATCTGAATCCACATTATGGCACGAGACTCGCTCTACTTATCCATTTTCTACTGCTGGAATGGCTAATCTTGCGCTTGACTCACTGGGACTTCGCTCAGGTCGAATTTCTTCGCATCCTGCAGTTCCAAGTCCGGTTCAAGCTGACATTTTCACTAACAGCCAAAGTTATGCGATCATTTTACTGGATGAAACATCTTCGTCCAGTTTGAACACTATTCATGCTGCTCTTAGTGAAGACCAAATGTTTAATCAGTTGTATCCGGCCCAACCCGCTAATGTGAAAATTCCCTTAACTGTCGCGCAAAAATTTGGGTCAAAATACCTATCATCCACATATTGTGCCGGAAGTATCGCGCTGTGTGCGAGCATAAGCGCCGAGACACCTCAAGTCAAAGCGGAAGTGGTGCAGGAGGTGCTCAAAGCCAACAGCTTTTTGAGTTCTAATGATGAACACGATTTAGCTTTTACTCGGGAGCTGGCACAGCTGAAGCAACTAACGACGAATTTTGTGCAAATGGAGGGAAATAAGTTACTCCTTGTAGGTCTCACGGGTCTCCAGGGAGATAAGGAAAAAGCAGCGCATGAAGCCATTTCAAACGCAGTACTTGAGTTCTTGGCTGAAATGATGAAATTTGAACATGTAGCTGCTGCACAGATAATGACAGGATCGCTACCTACTGGTGTGGAGCAGATAGCCGCGCTCTCGCGTCGTACGCGTAATCGAAAGCTTGCAACAAAACAAACGACAGATGAAGAAACGGAAGACGCGGAAAGTGGCAATGATAGTGAAGGAAGTGATGGTGATGATAATGAAGAAGAGGAGATAGCGGCAGCCAGTGGCAGTATGCTAGACGACGGAAGTAACTCGACGTCTACGATCAACTCGACGTCACAAGGCGCTTTGTTGATGTCTGATATTGCTGAGTATCAGATCATTTTGTGGACATCGGTGCTGCTTGGTGCGACGCTATTGATGGCGATTATGGCCATGGTGAATATGAATGCTGGCCGTGATAGTCTTCTCTATGCCAACTTTATTGCTGATGTGAACGGCCGGAAGACCAATTAAATCAGGCCGAGGAATTCGTAGCTTAATCAAATTTTCCAAATGAAGAAGTTTCTACATATTTTCATCTCTTTGTCAGTCTTTAATTTGTGATAGTGTTTTAATAGGAAACTTGTGACAATACAGTTATTCCGAAAGGCAAAACTTAGCAGTAGTGTCAAAATTATTTGAGATTGCAGATGGAAATTATATATCTATGAAATGAGATCGTCAGCATTGAACTAATTACCTGTAGATTGGGCAGACATAGTGGTTCATATACCCATCTACGGAGCAGGGATCTCTACACCATAAACGGTAATCGAAATGACAGCATTAAAATTGTTATCGATTTAGGAATAGTTAGACTTGCGACTTATCCAGCAACATGATATGGTGCTGTATGTAAAACAGGGCTTATTATCAGCAGTTTAATATTGCTAGAAGCTCTACATTAATTTTCAAAGATCATTTGAAGTGGCTATTGCACTTCATTGATAGAATCTCAAAGATATTGATTTCACATAAAAATACGAATTGATTGTCTTTTTACGTAAGAAGCTGCCACCTCGAACAAGGGGAGCCAAAATCAAAAGAGAAACATGATTGCTATTCGCCGAGCTGCTGCTGTCACCTCGAAGTGCACCTTTGTGGCACCAACGCAAGTCTTGGGATTTTCCACTTTCAAGGACAAGGAAAAAGCCGTTGAGGCTATCTACTTTAAGTATGTTATTACAGAATCTGTAAGATAAATTATGGTGAAGAATTAATTATCTTGTAATTACAGTAAGCAGGATGAGAAGACACTGCGCAAGCTGCTGCAGAAGATGAAGGGCCAGACTGATGTAACTGACAAAGAGGGTTCGAAAAACCATCTTGAACATGACATGAAGGGTTTGAAGGAAATTCCTGGACTTAAGCTGAACGATGAACAGGTTCAGGCGTTACTTAAATGGAAGCACCAGCACTAGACCGATGATACTGTTAAACATTTCGAGTCTTATGGTAGGCTTAAATGTCTCAATACATGTTTTCTGACTCGTTTGGAGTCTCGTCAGCCGCAACAAGTTACTACATAGACGTTTGCTGTATTATGGCACACCATAGATGCCGAGCATGTCTTAAACACAACCTCGACTGATGTGACTGAGTTCCTAGCCAAGTTAATCATGGTGCTTGTCGAAGCAATTAGTGTACATTACCCAAGTAAACAATCGAAAACTATCAACTCGACTCAAACGCAAAAATTTCTGCGTTAACCCTGTCGAGCTCCGTTGTAATCTCGGCACGCTGCACTCGAGCAGTCTCGAGCATTTGCTTAAAACGATTCTGATATCATAGCAATATGAGCAACACGTTTTACCATATGCAAATCGAATAAGGAAATGTACCTTCACAATGATGTTGGAGTTGGCATCAACCTTGGCACTTAGCTCACTAATGTCACGATCGGCATCGCGCACGGACTTTTGTAAGCGATCACGAATAGGGAGCAATTTAAGGTAGGTCGGATCCGTCAAATATGCTTTTTCACGGAGCGGAGATGCTGGTTTCGTATCCATGCCGTCAAGGATGTCATCTTCCAGCATATCGACCTCCTTGTCCTCGTCATTGTCAATACCTTGCGAGTGCAGCTGCATAGGAGATAATCTTGGGCTCGGTGTCGGTGCAAAAGCAGGCGATCGCTGAACAGAAGCCCGGCCGTCTGTTTGAGACTCGGCCTCGGAGCCTGCATCTGTGGCAAGTGGCGTATTCATGATCGAAGTGTTGGCCGTACCAGGCACTGTGCTATTCTCAGCGCTTGGTGGTAATATTTTCTGTTTCTTTGTTAATGGCTCTTCCGACAATGTCAAGTATTCAGGATGCTCACGAATAAGCTCCATCTCGTCCGTCACAATGATTCCACCTGGATGCTCCTCATCCGTCATCCAGTCGTAATAGTCAACTAGTTCTTCGTGCACATCTTCGATGGCACCACCAGCGATGATCTTGACCAAATCTTCTTCCACCCGTGAAACATCCACTTTCTAACACGAGAAAACTTGTAAATCTTTCTAAACATTAATCATTAACAATTGATACCTTTAAATACGTACTGGAAATGGCGTAGTTTTCTTTGTTTTATCATACTTACGCTTGACAACGTTGGTATTTGGAGGCGTGAGACCGTTGGGCACTTCATCCTGAGACTCTAATATCTTTCTTTCGTCTTCTCTATCTGTCACTACAAAGATCTACAAGTTTACATACTTTCCTCAGCTCACTAATAAATTAGCTTTAAGATTGATTCCCACCTGTCCAATTTCGCCGCTCTTGTAAAAAAAATTGTCATCGTATGTCTTGTGCGTCTCTAAGATTGTCGGCAATTGCACTACAACATCTTGTCAGTGTGCTCCTTTCTTTCAGCATATCACTCATGAAAAAGCGTACCGATCTTTGCTGGGTAGTTCTTGCCGTTTACCTGCAGTGAAAAGTGCTTGTTATCCGCTGCAAATTACCCAAGAGAGCGTTAGTTGCAATTTTTCCTCGCGGTTTCTGGACACGTCTATCCGTTTCGTCTACAAAACAAAACCATTTGGACACTTCATATACGCACCTTCTGCCACCATATCTACGTTTGCTGAGTCGCCATTTGCAATACCGGACCGCACTTCCTGGGCAAGACGCTTCGGTAGCTGCAGCAAATACTGCTCCATCCTTAGTAACAGGGTTACGCAAAAGGGGGGTACGTTACGTACTTTGATATTTGATATACTTTCAATTTACAAGGTAATGTATTTATTATCTTAGTAATTGATTTCCTGATGTGATGTTGAAATATTAAAAATTTGAGCGCTACCAGCCAGATAGTTTATTTTTGCCGCCACGCGCGACAATCGACAGTCTTATACCGGCATCGAACAAAATTTGAAATGGATCGCAAGTCGTGTTCTCGAACAATAACATCAATATTTTACGATCTCTGAGCTATTGGTTAATACTTATCAAGCAAGCCAGTAAATGGTGAAATATTGAGCAGATGTATTCCTTTAGTGCTGCTTGCGATGCAATTGTCAGCTTGCGTGCTTTGACAGCTCATTATGATCAAACGCACAAATGCTTGCGGGTCTTTTAAATTCACACTCGCCTTTGTAGCTTAATTAACGAAACCTAAAATCATTTGCGTTTTGACAGTAATGCGCAATATGTAACGGGGTTGCACGTACGTACAGGTGGGTCATACAAGATGGTGTGACCGTACAAAGGTGTGGATTACACAAGTTGGTGTAATCACACAATGGTGTGGCTAAGCCGTAACAAGAAGCAGTAGTTATGCATATTAATTAGATTTTACTATCTAATCAGGGAAACCTAAGGTTTAGATACATGTAAAGGTCTTTGCCTTGGTTAGGATTTTTAAGTACTCTTGGAGGTAGCGGATTGCGATTCGCTACACTCGTACTGGTTCTGGTATAGAAC